TTAGATAGTTTAGATAGTTTAGATAGTTTAGATAGTTCAGGGGCTTCCTGAACTATCTAAACTATCTAAACTATCTAACCTCTTTCCGGGAAGGCCCCCAGGAGGTTTGAAACTTTCTAAGCTATCTAAACTATCTAAACTATCTAACCTCCGTTTCTCCCAAAATCGAGGTTAGATAGTTTAGATAGTTTAGGGGCTCGTCTAAACTATCTAAACTATCTAAACTATCTAACCTCTGTTCCTCCCAAAATCGAGGTTAGATAGTTTAGATACTTTAGGGGCTCGTCTGAACTATCTAAACTATCAAAAAATATTCTAAAAGATTCTAAACCTACTTTCTCCCCAAATCGAGGTAGATGAGTTTTAGATAGTTTTGGATAGTTTAGAAAGTTTCAAACCTCCTGGGGGGCACTCCCCGGAAAGAGGTTAGATAGGTTTAGGATAGTTTTAGATAGTACAGGGGCGTCGGAACTATCTAAACTATCTAAACTAGCGAACCTTTTCTTTCGGGGAGGCCCCAAGCGAGGTGTTGAAACTTTCTAAACATCTAAACTATCAAACTATCTAAACTAATCTAACATCTGTTTCTCCCAAAATCGAGGTTAGATAGTTTAGATAGTTTAGGGGCTCGTCTAAACGATCTAAACTATCTAAACTATCTAAACTATCTAACCTCCTTTTCTCCCAAAATCGAGGTTAGATAGTTTAGATAGTTTAGGGGCTCGTCTAAACTATCTAAACTATCTAAAGTATCCAAACTATCTAAACTATCTAACCTCCTTTTCTCCCAACATCGAGGTTAGATAGTTTAGATAGTTTAGGGGCTCGTCTAAACTATCTAAACTATCTAAACTATCTAACCTCCTTTTCTCCCAAAATCGAGGTTAGATAGTTTAGATAGTTTAGATAGTTTAGAAAGTTTCAAACCTCCTGGGGGCCTCCCCGGAAAGAGGTTAGATAGTTTAGATAGTTTAGATAGTTCAGGGGCTTCCTGAACTATCTAAACTATCTAGACTATCTAACCTCTGGCTGGGGACGACCCAGAGGGAATTGAAACTTTCTAAACTATCTAAACTATCTAAACTATCTAAACTATCTAACCTCTGTTTCTCCCAAAATCGAGGTTAGATAGCTTAGATAGTTTAGGGGCTCGTCTAAACTATTTAAACTATCTAAACTATCTAAACTATCTAACCTCCTTTTCTCCCAAAATCGAGGTTAGATAGTTTAGATAGTTCAGGGGCTTCCTGAACTATCTAAACTATCTAAACTATCTAAACTATTTAAACTATTTAACCTCCTTCTCCAAGAAAGGAAAGTAATCACATAGTACCTAAAGGTCCCTCTTACATATATATATATATCTATCTAGATGTATATTTATGTATTTATTTCATTATTTACATGTATTCGCTCATATACATCTAATCAATAGTTTCACAATACATCTATATATACATTTTTTTAATGGAGTTTTCGATCGACCGAAGCAAGACCGATAGACGAGGAATTGGCCAACCAATGTGAGACCAGTATTGGACGACGTCAGCAAAGTGTACGTCCTCTTCTTCGGCGCGTACATCATCGTTGTGGTGTTCGCTCTGGTACGGGTCATCACTGCTATCTTCTTGAAAGATACCTTGGACGCTGCGCAAAGCGACGCCGAATTCATGGTCTTGGAAGGCATGCGCAAGCGATCACGGTACGTGCACAAGTTGGAAGAAATATTCAAAGCGATCGACAAGACTGGCAAAGGCATCTTGACGGAAGCAAGGCTGAACGACATCCTCAGCGAACCCCGTGTGAAGGCCTATTTCCAATCACTCGACGTCGACATTCACGAAGGCAAAGCACAGAAAGATCTGATCTTTCAGCGGTAAAGAGCATGCACAAGTTAGGACTGCAATCTTTCCCGTATTATTAACAGCCCGGCAAAACGAAGGATGTAACGAGGGCGGTTTCATACCTCATCATGCTGCTGGCATGTTGGTGTTAATGCTGTCCGAGAGTGCAGAAAGGTGTGGCGTTGTTCCATTTGTTAGACAACGGCGATGGCGAGGTCACCCTGGAGGACCCATGTAGCAAACGTCACCCTGCATTGCTTGCAGCACAAACCTTGGGGACCAAACGAGCTCCGAGATCGGGGTCATATACCATGTACTACTATAATCCGGATTAAACAAAGGAAAATAAAGGAAAATGAAACCTTAAACCCTAAACCGGAAACCCTTCTAAGGGTTCATTTGGTCACCAAGGAAACCGGGAGCGAAAAACTAAAATCCTAAAACCCTAAAACCCTAAAAAGGAGTTCGTGGATGGCATCTTGCGATGCAAGGGTCAGGCGAGAGCCATTGACCAGGTCGCAATCCATGCTGCGCCATGGATGCATGTTTGGAGGTTCATGGATATAGCGGTTTAGGGTTTAGGGTTTAGGGTTTAGGGTTTAGGGTTTAGGGGCTCCCCCCACTTGGAGGTTCATGGGTAGCTATAAGTAGGGAGATAAGTACCCTAAAAAGGGTCATAACCGATATAACCTTCAAGGGTAGCGATAAGTAAGTAGAGGGTCATAACCGTTTAACCCGTTATAACCAGTTATACTTATAGGTTCCTGGGTAGCTATAAGTACTAGGTTGGGTGCTGGTACTTTTTTTTATTTTCCTCATTTGGGCTTATAAGGGACCCTATATATAAACATTTTTCAGAGGGTTTAAAGGCCAACCCAGAGTAGGGATACAAGTACCTAAAAAGGGTCATAACCAGCTCTGCTTCAAAGTTACCCTATACTCACAACCCCACTTGTAACTACACATGAACCTTCAAGTAGCCCTAAACCTAAACCCTAAACCCTAAACCCTAAATACACCCTAAACCCAATCTGCGGATCCTGCGGCCCATGCTACTTGGAGGTACATGGTACTTATGAACCAGGTATAAGTGTACCTATAACTGTACTTACAACCATAGTAGGGCACTTAAGGGGCTTAGAAGTGGGTTATAAGCACAGTTGTGATTGGTTAAGACTACCATAAAACCTTACAAACCACCCTATTAGAGGGTTAAAAAAAACCCTCTTTTCTTAAACCCTCTTAGACAAGACCAGCCATGGGTCACAGATCTTGTGAGGATCTCAAGCAGCTCGATGCCAAGCTTTCCAAGATGACCCAGATTTTCACGGAGGTGTATCCTACTCTTCTCAGGACGCGGCTGGGCATCCCTTGTGGCTCAGGTAGCAGAAACCCTAAACCCTAAACCCTAAACCCTAAACCGAGAGGTCAGCTAAGCGGGTGGCAAAAAAAAAAACCCTAAACCCTAAACCCTAAACTGAAGCTGGCCGCTCACCCTGTCAGGAAGTCGAGGCAAGCTGCCAAGTCTCCGAAGGCTCAGCCGGGTATCATGCGGCGCTTGTCTATGTCCTCTTTGTGACTGCAACCCCCCGAACCCTAAACCCTAAACCCTAAACCCGACCTCTACATGGAGGCTCATGGGTAGTTATAAGTAGGGCTATAGGAACCCCAGATAAAGTTATAACCTGTTATGATTTTAGTTACCCTGCTTATCACCGCACTTATAACTGCTCATGAAGCTTCAAGTAATCCTCAACCCTAAACCCTAAACCCTAAACCCTAAACCCTAAACCCTAAACCCTCAAGTAATCCTATATCTGCTGATGGTGGCCAGCACCTTGGACAGCCCTGCGCCGAGCCGATCGGAAATGAATCCTGTCGTGATCTTTCCGTCGTGCTACACCCTAAACCCTAAACCCTAAACCCTAAACCCTAAACCGTCTTTTCCTGCTGCTACGATCTTCAGCAGTGCATGGGCCACGTCTGCCTTAATTCGAAAATTCTGTATGCATTGTGGTTTGGAGGGTGCAGGCCCCACAAACACAAGAACTGTAACATGGCTAGAAGCTAGGGTTTAGGGTTTAGGGTTTAGGGTGTAGGGTTTAGGGTTGCTGCTGAGACCCCCACCGCTTTTGAGCAGCCTACGAGCTGGATCAAGCCCTTGCTCTCTGACAATGATCAGAGGGTTTCCGAAAATCGGTGTACCTATCTCAAGGATCTCCGTCTTTGGGAGCATATGGGTATTTCAATTTTGGGACATATCCGGGGTAATTCCACTGCACACGGAAGAGGTGTTTTATATCACCTCTTTGCGGGTGCATGTTGTTCAAGCACCGGGGGTAGCATGCATGCACGCACATCGCTCATCTTCTCATCTCAGCTGTTCCCTACATGCCCATTTCGGCACCCTCGATGCTTCGAACCTGTTCTGCTAGAACAGAATTCGTGGAGATTTTGTCTGCGCTCTTGTCTCAGATATCACAATGACTTCGGATTCGAGAGCCAGCTTTCACAAGGAAGGTCTCCGGCCCGTCTTCTGGGTTCGCCGCATGTGTGTAGCTTGCGACTACTTTCCCCGAAGCACCGCGGCAAGAAAGTATGCGCGCGACTGTGCAGAGAATGACCCGTGGCAGGCGCTGAAGAACGGAAGTGAACTGGACGGTCAACCAGCTTTCCAGGATGGGCCATTAGGCCCTAGAATCCCAATAATGCACCCTATAAAGGGCTCTTTTAAGGGATTATAGGGTGTAATAGCCCCATCCTGGTTTGTCCAAGGACTTCGAGCGCTTGCTTGAGGACTCCGTGGATGTAGAGGTTGACGCCGACAGGCCGACGGGCTTGAGGGTGTGCCGGTTGGCGATAAGAAGGGACCCCCAGTAATTAAGGGACCCCCAACTAGTAGGATCCCCTTAGAATAAGGACCCAAAAAAAACACCCCTAATCTCGTAAAACCCCCGTGTGATGCAACTGACGAAGCTCCACATGTCATCGGCTCAGCCTGCGCACGCGTTGGATCCCGGAGGCCCAGCGAAGCAATGCCCCCCACTCCGGTCTCGCCCACACCAACCTCAGGCGCGTGCAGTTGCAAAGCAGTCGGGCTTTGCAAGCAGAGCATCATGTTTTGCGAGATGCTCCAGGCACGAGGCCTTCAGCAATCATGGAAGCGACTCCATTTGCCAAGCTCTCCAGTGCTGCTTGGCTTGTTGCCAGCAGGGCTCGTGGAGTGCATGGATGCAGTCTTACATATTATGAGCTCAAACGGACCATACATTATTTCATTATGTGTTGCGTGACAAACACCATACATGGTACACTATACTTTATATGTATGTGTATATATATCTCCACACACATATATATATATATACATATCATATGTATGTGTACATGTATATATTTACACATACTTGTTTAGAGACGCATTGTTTTATTGCTCTGGTGGGTCTATGTTGTATAGTAATTTGATATGTTTTCAGTTGTATTGTTGTGCTATATGTAAATTAAATACGATGAATGGACGAACTCTTGCACCACCTTTCTTGTGTCAGGTGGTGCAACAAGTTGGTGCTAGCCATTGTTAAAAGGGAGGGGCGAACGCGTTTTTGACCAGAAGCATTGTTCAAAAGTGGTGCAAGACCTCATTCTGTATGAAATCATTCGCTACATTGATTGCATCATATGAACTACATGATACCAACTTACACTATATACTCTCCTAAATAAGGACTATTCATCAAGTCTCACGTATCCATAGTCACGTTGCCTTCCAGGTTCCATCGCCAGTCCAACGGCCACCGGTTACAACCGAACCGGTTGCGGTCACAGCCACAGCCGAGGGAGGCGCCCACCGTTTTCCCAGAGACTCCAAAACCCCTTAATAAAGGAATATACCTGGAATATACCTTAAATTCGAATAGAAACCCTAATATGATTTAATAGATATTCCTTAATTAAGGTGTTTTGGAGTCCCCGTTTTCCGTTGCTTCGCCATCGCGCATGTGCGAACGCGACATACGCCAACAACAACACAGACATGGTCCTATCCTCCGCCAGGCCAGCACTCTGGACAAAAGCGCCAGGCGGGGAGAGATGTCTCAGAGTGGTTTGGGGTTTGGGGTTTTGGGGTTTTGGGGTTTTGGGGTTTTGGGGTTTGGGGTTTGGGGTTTGGGGTTTGGGTTTTCAGCCTGTTCTTCGCACGCGCTCTGCCCATCCAGTTTGGTTTCGGTCATGAGGTTGGCCGGATCATGCGCCGCATGGTGTAGCTTACTTCTGAAAAATTGTTAGGGTTTAGGGTTTCGGGTTTAGGGCGTGCTTAGCTTTGCAATGTTGACAGGCGCAGCCAGACTCCTGGTCCTTCGTTGGACTCTCCGGACGATTGGAGGACGATGTGATTACTCACGCTTGCCATGCGCCTGCCTGCTCGAATCGAAGCAGTTTTGGCAAACCAAGGCAGCAATGCCACAGGACTTTTTGAGCAACATGCGATTTTCATTCCTAGGCCCCAACCCCTTTACCCATTTCGGTTCGAGATCTGGGTTCACGCATTTTGTTTTTGCGCTGCTTATTCCGAAGCGGCAGGTTGTGCCAGCTGTCCGCACGCACGCAAGTTGACGCTTTTTCCAGAAAGCTTTCCGAACACAGCCCCGCGCAGAGAATCATAACAAGAATCGTAAAAATAGTGCGTCATGATGTAATGAGACTGCTATATCCCCCTTAAGAATTAGTTTCTTTGTTTACATAAAACCCAAGAGGATATTAAAAATGTGTTTTCTTAAGGTCCTAAGAGGAGTCATGAGACTATGTAATGGCTGGAGGACATATGTCGGGACCTCCGCCGCAGTGTTGAGCTCCTTTGGCAGAAGCTCAAGCACAGCTGTGCCCATTATGCCAGATGGGCATTTCCGAAATGAGAGTAAACCTTAACCCCTAAACCCCAAAACCCTACGTAGCCCCAAACCCCAACCCCTAAACCCTGAAGCCCGAAACCCTAAACCTAGCCCTAAACCCTAAACCCTAAACCCTTAAACTCAGCGTCTTGTGGCTGCGCGCGAGCTGCAGGCATGAGTTCATGCTGTCAGAGCGGCAGCTGCAGGCCGGCAAGCGCAACTCCCTGGCTCCCCGAGCCCTACATAGGTTTAGGGGTTAGGTTTTGGGGTTTAGGGTTTAGGGTTTAGGGTTTAGGGTTTCGGGTTTGGGGCTTGAAACAAAAACCCGCCGGATTCAAGAGACTCGCCGCCGGCTTGCCAGTCGCGAGAGTCGATAGACACCCCCTAAAGCCCAAGCCCCTAACTGCTGTCCACGTATTTTGTCACATCTGTTTTTTTCATAGTATATTATATATATACATATACACACTTGCACTTTTTCCATAAATAAGCCGAGGAATAAATGCATGTATATATATATATGTGAATATGTATACGCTATACACGTATATACATATATACTGATATATATATATATATATGCTACCCCGCCCTCCAAAAAATGAAAACGAAAAACCACAGTGTAAGACAAAAAAGGCACCACATACGTCTATTGTGTGCGTGTACAGGTTTCAGTTTTTGTTGGCTCCGCCCCGGAGGCCCAGTTCCAGGCCGACCTCGAAGCGCAGCGGCTGAGGGCAGAGGCCTTCGCCTGCCAGCAGCAGGCCTGGGGGTCTTGGGGTTTGGGGGTTTAGGGGTTTTGGGGTTTAGGGGTTTAGGGTTTAGGGTTTAGGGTTTGGGGTTTTGGGGTTTTGGGGTTTTGGGGTTTTGGGGTTTAGGGTTTAGGGTTTAGGGTTTGGGGTTTTGGGGTTTTGGGGTTTTGGGGTTTGGGGGTCTTGGGGGTCTTGGGGGTCTTGGGGGTTGGGGTTTTGGGGTTTGGGGGTTTGGGGGTTTGGGGGTTTTGGGGGTCTTTGGGGGTTTTGGGTAGGGTTTGGGGTTTGGGGTTTGGGGTTTTGGGGTTTTGGGGTTTGGGGTTTTGGGGTTTGGGGTTTGGGGTTTTGGGGTTTTGGGGTTTTGGGGTTTTGGGGTTTGGGGTTTGGGATTTGGGGTTTTGGGGTTTAGGGGTTTAGGGGTTTAGGGTTTGTTGGGCTTTGGGCACAATGCCCTAAGCACCATAGACCCTAAACTGCAAAATACCCTGCTCTTATGGCCGGCGGGAGTTTGCGTCTGCTTCATGTTGGGCCGCATAGTTGGCGCAGTCTACTCTGGCCCACAATCATGCTCCCTTTGCATAAAACATGGGGGCAGCAACCCTACATTCCTAAACTGTTTAGACTTTGAACGTCGAAGCTTTTGAACTTTAAGCCCTTTCGGGCTTATTTAGGGACCTAGAAAAAGGGTTTAGGTTGTAGGGTTTAGGGGTAGTATCCGTTAGTCGTAGTAGCACGCTGAGCTTTTCGCTGACCATTGGCAGCCCGGCCGAACCAATCCCACATGCGATGCGCAGGGAGCCCAATAGACCTTTAAGAACAGACCTGAAGGGAGGAAAGGGTTTAGGGTTCAGGGTTCAGGGTTTAGGGTTTAGGGTTTAGGGTTTAGGGTTTGGGGTTTAGGGTTTAGGGTTTAGGCATTCTTGTGGTCTGAAGTACCCAAAATCAAAGTGCCCAACGAATTGCCTGTGCGCCCCCTTACCTGGGGGCTATTGGCCTTCCTTGAGGTACTTTGAGACCTTTGGTACCCCTACACCCTAAACCCTAAACCCTAAACCCTAAACCCTAAACCCTAAACCCTAAACCCTAAACCCTAAACCACTCTTTCATATATAATATAAATGTTAATGACTTTGCGGGCAAGGTCATATATTTAGCGGGCAAGGTCCTATATTTAGCGGGCAAGGTCATATATTTAGCGGGCAAGGTCATATATTTAGCGGGCAAGGTCATATATTTAGTGGGCAAGGTCCATTGGCTAAAAAATGACCTTGCCCACTAAATATATGACCTTGCCCGCTAAAGGGCGACCTTGCCCACTAAATATATGACCTTGCCCGCTAAATATATGACCTTGCCCGCTAAATATATGACCTTGCCCGCTAAATATATGACCTTGCCCGCTAAATATATGGCCCGGGCCAGGTCATATATTTAGCGGGCAAGGTCATATATTTAGCGGGCAAGGTCATATATTTAGCGGGCAAGGTCCTATATTTAGCGGGCAAGGTCCTATATTTAGCGGGCAAGGTCCTATATTTAGCGGGCAAGGTCCTATATTTAGCGGGCAAGGTCATATATTTAGCGGGCAAGGTCATATATTTAGCGGGCAAGGTCATATATTTAGCGGGCACTCCCCCCCCCCCACCCCCCCCCCCACCCCCCCCCCCCCCCCCCCCCCCCCACCCCCCCCCCCCCCCCCCACCCCCCCACCCCCCCCCCCCACCCCCACGTCCCCCCCCCCCCCCCCGCCCCCCCACCCCCACACCCCCCCACCCCCCCCCCCCCCAACCCCCCCCCCCCCCCCCCCCCCCCCTGGAGCCCCTCAAAAGAGTCAAGCGATTCAAGATGGCTTCCAAAGAATAAGTTCCCGAATGACCGCGCCTGTTTTTGAGGCCCCTGAAGCCCCTCAAACGACTCAAGAACTCAAGATGGCTTCCAAAGAATAAGTTCCCGAATGGAAACATGTGGTTAACAAATCCATTCTGTTGACCACGTTGGTTTTCTTGTCCGCTTGAAACAGAAACATGTGGTTGACAAATCCATTCTGTTGACCACGTTTGGTTTTCTTGTCCGCTTGAAACAGAAACATGTGGTTAACAAATCCATTCTGTTGACCACGTGCCTAGAGAAGAAGGAGGTTGGATATTTTTCCTAATGGTGTGGGACCCAATGGGCGGGTGGGTATTCCCCTGTGGCCTTGAAAGCTGCTCAACTAGTGAATGCTTGGACCAGAGATGCTGAACCCTAAACCCTAAACTAAACCCTAAACCCTAAACCCTAAACCCCAAACCCTAAACCCTAAACCCTAAACCCTAGCCGGGGGGGGGGGGGGGGTGTTGGGCAAATTCCCGCAGGCCAAGATCGAGGCGCTGGAGGTCGAGCTCAAGACAACCACAAAGAAGCTGGAGTCCAAGCAGAAGCAGGCTCCCAAGGGTTTAGGGTTAGGGTTTAGGGTTTAGGGTTAGGGTTTAGGGTTTAGGGTTTAGGGTTTAGGGTTTAGGGGCTCCCCCCACTTGGAGGTTCATGTAGTTCTAAGTAGGGTTACAAAGTTCCCGAAGTAAGCTTATAACCCGCTATGAATATAGCTACCCTACTTATAGCCCCACTGAAGCAGGCTCCCAAGGGCTTTTTGTATTGCAGCCGCCGGCTGATGATTGAAGATTTTCGGGGTTTAGGGTTCAGGGTTTAGGGTTTAGGGTTCAGGGTTAGGGTTTAGGGTTTAGGGTTTAGCGAAGCCACGTGGAAGACGTAGATGCTGAAGTTGGCAGACGCTGTTTTGTGTGTCAGCTCGGAAGGTCAAAGAATCCTTCGCGCTGTCAACGCGGGTTCGCCAAAACTTCTTGGCACGGCTGGCCTTTGAGCGGGCCTTCCGATCCTGGCAGGCAGGGTTTAGGGTGGGTTTAGGGTTTAAGTTTAGGGCATGTCACGAGTTGAGGTTGCAGTCCGTTGCAGTCCAGGTTCATCTCCATCGAAGCTTGATGTCAGAACGCACATGTACATGTATACATATATGCAAAGTGTATGCATGGTGAGTACGCGTGTGCTGTGCAGGTCTGTATGCATGCATGTGAATGTGGGGCAAACCAGAACGTAGCATTCTGTCTTCCCCTTAGATACCCCCATTCCGCTGCGCGCAGGCGCATGCTGCACAGGCCAAAGAGGAGCCACAGGGCCGTGAAAGCAGAGCATGTTGTTTGATGTGTGATTGTCTACTCGGTTAAGTAGCTACAGAAGAAGTGCTCAGCATTAGGGTTTAGGGTTTAGGGTTTCAGCAGAGATACTAAGGCAACTGCAGAACAAGCTGGTGGCAAGGCTGCAGAACTCCGTGTAGGCAACTGGTGCTCGTCAATCTCCGAGGAAGTGACGTTTGTTTGGTCTGTCTTGGTTGCACGTTTTTGAAGCTGCTAAGCCTGCTACGCCTGTCTCAGACTTCTTCCAATCAGGGTCCCTTAAACCCTCAACCCCTACCCTAAATCCAAAACCCGAAGCCGTTTTTAGGGAAATCTTCTCGCCCGGTCCGAATCCTAAGGCGAGCCATCAGCAGGGCCTTCGCTTGGTTTCGGCCCTCTTTTCCTCCTGGCGACAAGATGCACAGAGCGGCATCCGTGACTGGGAGAAGCAGTGGGAAACGCCGAGGTTTACGTAGGGTTTAGGGTTTAGGGTTTAGGTTTTGGGTTTTGGGTCTAGGGTTTAGGCTCCAGGTACTAAAGTAAGGAATTCCGGAGGGTATTTGAAATGTTCTTGGCCCAGCTTGAATATGAAACAGTGTTTATGTAACTGTTCTTGGTGAGTGTGCATAAGGTCCCCTGTTTTTGGTAGTGGGGAGTGTATGCAAAGGGTGTCCTCTTGGGGGTACAAGAATATTAAATGCTACCTCATTTCGCCTCATGGTTCAAGAACAACAGGCGAATGCGCCTCGAGTGGGCTAAGAGCAGGATTGACATGGGGGGTTCCCCGAAACAGGGGCGCCATTGCGGTTCCCATAAAGATGATTTGAGTATCCCGATTTTGGGACATATCCATATGGATTCCTGCCATGCAAGGCAGGCCGGGCGGCGGGTGGACCACGAACATGGATACTCTACAATAACTCTCAAGCGTCTTCGTCGGACGACGTGGAAGCCCTACGTAGCACTACTCATGAACATACCCTAAACCCCTAAACCCCTAAACCCCTAAACCCCTAAACCGCTAAACCCCTAAATCCCTAAACCCCTAAACCCCTAAACCCCTAAACCCCTAAACCCCTAAACCCCTAAACCCCTAAACCCCTAAACCCCTAAACCCCTAAACCCCTAAACCCCTAAACCCCTAAACCCCTAAACCCCTAACCCCCTAAACCCCTAAACCCCTAACCCTAAACCCTAAACCCCTAGACTCAGTAGACGTCTTGGCCCTTGGCGAAGGTGAGAGGCTTATTGCCCATGAGCGTGCTGCCGCGGCTGCTGTGCGAGCCAAGCTTTTCGAGCAGCCACCTGCCGTGCTTATATCAAGTGGTGTAGGGTTTTGGGTTTGGGGTTCAGGGTTTAGGGTTTAGGGTTTTGGGTTTAGGGTTTAGCGATGTCACAGCGCCTGTAGTGACGATGTCCGATGTTCAGATGTTCTTGGTGGGACCTATAATGCCTTGAACGTCCGACAGAGTTGTCTGGTGACCGTTGCGGTTTGGTCTCAGGCTAGTCTGACTTCCAGGGTGACCCCACATAGCACTACATGTCAGTTCTCCTGAAGCGCACAGATCAGACAGGATTCGCTTTGCATCCCTGCAGTGTGCTGTGAGGCTGCTGGGTAGCTGGCAAAAAAGGGATATACGAATATACTTATACACCAATATCAAACAGAAAGTAATGTAATGGTCCCTGAACCCTAAACCCTAAACCCTAAACTGTCACAACGCAATAGCGTAGTAATGTAGCCGCTAAGGATGGAGACTGAGCGTGCGCAACTCGTCGCACAGGCGCGGCGGGTCCGAGGACATTGCAGCTGACCCACCACCGAGTCTGCAATAGCAGCATGTACCTATATAGAATGAACTCGCTGATGAGCCTGAGTTAATAAAAAATTAGCTAAAAACATATATATATACATATATGTATATGTCTATATAAATATGTCTTTCTATATGGCACTGCGTGGCTGGACCGATGTTTCTCTGTGGGCCATGTAGTGCACGCCCAAAAAAACCCCGGAGGTGGAGGATTTGAAGCGGCAGGTCTCGGAGGAAGGGAAGCAGAGCCCTGGCCAGCTCTTGAGGCATGCGGTTTAGGGTTTAGGGTTTAGGGTTTAGGGTTTAGGGTTTAGGGTTTAGGGTTTAGGGTTTAGGTTTAGCCGTAAAAAGGGTTTAGGTTAGGGTTTAGGCTTTAGGGTTTGGGGTTTAGGGTTCCCTAAACCCTAAACCGCCTAAACCAATGAACCCCGCTGTGCTGTGGCTAGTCGGGTGCCAAGAAAGACCCTAAACCCTTGCGGCTGGATCTGTGTTGGGATGTTCCCCCTTCTACTACAAGTAACACTCCTTGGGTACTATATTCCCTCTTAAGGACTGTTAACCCTAAACCCTAAACCCTAAGGGATTTCCCCCAAACCGCGTTGGATAATTGTGTGTCTTGTGCTTTGCTGATGTTTGATTCGTGTGATCCTTGCACGATGTCTCGCTCGCTCGCGACCGGGCCCAACGATGCCAGTGTGTGGTTGGCAAGTCTGGTAGCCGAAGTCAGGAATTCGACATTTCAATGCGTGTTTGAAGCGAGGTAAGGGATGTCTTCTGAGCGATGCGATTTTTGTTTCTTGCTTGGGGCGTGTATAAGGTAAACGAGATCCTGCTGTCCCAAAAACACCAATGTTCAATGCACCTCACGAACTGAGGAATCAAGGGTATGTTGGCAGGATGCAAAGCGCTAACCCTGTTGTGTGTTCCGTACCTGTGTGTAATTTGTGTTGTTAGTGATGGAGTTGGCTCCGATGAGTGACACGTGCATCCTTCCCAAAGACTGCGGAGAGGTGGATTTCGCACGCTTGAGAAGCCTGTAAATGAGACGAGACAGTCTTCGGGAAGAGGGGATTCTCCACTCCAGAGATACTTGATTTTCGGTCAGAAGGAGTGGTTAGGTGCTTCGGAAATTGATGTTTCATACGTGTGAGAATGGGACTTGTGTTTGACTTATGAGGTTGGCTGGTGGAACAGTGTTTCCGGTCATGAGACCCTGCACTTTCCCCTAGCTATGCGGGAGTGAAACACAACCCTAAGCCGCCTAAACCCGAAACCCTGAACCCTGCACCCTAAACCCTGTTGATGGCTCTTTCCGATCCAGCCAATGTGCTGGGCTTGTCTTTTGCATGGATCGCGCGCGCCCCTCAGATGCCCTAAACCCGAAACCCTATAAACCCGAAACCCTAAACCACGCCTTCAGTTGGACCGAGGAGAGCCCTCCTCCAGGACAACTTGAAGCGCGTGTTCATGCGAGGCGCGGGTAGTTGCAGCTTGATAGGAGAAGAAAGCAAACCCCACAAACTATTATGTACATATATATATATATAGATATAGATTTTATTCGTTTGGGAGATATACAATGTTATATATATATGTATTAATGCATGTATTTGTTTATAAGTACATGATCACATATATCTATCTATCTAGAAGAAACTCTACTTTAAACCCCTAAACCACTTTTTGCGACCGTGCAAGGTGTCTGTGCTTTGAACTTCGAGGCCATGTCCCTACTCTCAGATCCAGGCCAGGAGCTCAGAGCTACGTCACAGCAACGTATACATATACATGTATGTGTATATATATATACATACACTTATTTATTTATATTCCTGTTTATACGTGTATATATATATATATATGTATATGTGTGTGTCTACATGTATGCATACATGTGTGTAACTCCAGTGATCTGGTTGGCCAGAGGTGCTGCTGCTGGTGGTGGTGCTCTTTCAGGAACAACTGGCGCAGCCGCTTTGGAAGGCGCCTCTTGCACTGGGTATGCAGACGTAACCCTAAACCCTAAACCCTAAACCCTAAACCCTGTGTCAAAGGAGTCCTCGCTTCGGAGCCAGCAAACACTGAGCCTGTGGCACTTCCTCCGGGTATGCAAGCAGCCAGCTCAGACGCAGTCTTTGGCTTTTTTCGATACCTGTTGTGCAGGAGCCTACTTGGAGGTTTATGGGTAGTTACCGGTAGGGTTACAAGTACCCTTAATACGGATATAACCAGTCAGAATTATAGTTACGACCCATGAGCTTTCAGGTATGCTCCCCTATAGGCAAGACGTGGATATAGAGAACATGGCATCATAAAATCTGGTGGCCCTGCTGTGCAAGGTTAGTTCTTCTGGACCTGTGGCACCAGCAACGCCTGGCCAGGAGTATCACGTCACAAGACGGTTGTCTGCTGTCTTTCAAAGGAAAGTCCACCAAAGTGATTCCCCAAAGCTTGGAGAGTACTCAGAGGATGGGAAGGAAGGTTCGTCATTGGGGGCCCAGCAGAGGTGGAGAGTGTTGTTGCAATTGATCGAACGTGGGGTGGCAGCCCACCGAGCGACCAATCCTTGCGAAGCATTTCTGAAGGGGCAAGGTCTTGCCGCATTGCCTCCCAGGATGTATAGTAGTTGCAGAAGCATCAAGACTTGTGTAACAGAGTTGTCGGCACAAGTCTTGATGCAGGACTGCCAGGGGCAAGCGCAAACCAGGACATCCGAAGGCAGGGTCGTAACCTTTACTCCGTGGATCCGGGGGTAGATGGGCCTCAATGCCTAGCACCGCTACCTCCAAAACAACTTCTTCAGCTCGTTGTGCTTTGGGCTTATCGCCGGTTTAGGGTTTAGGGTTTAGGGTTTAGGGTTTAGGGTTTAGGGTTTGGGGTTTAGGGTTTAGGGTTTAGGGTTAGGGTTTAGGGTTTAGGGTTTAGGGATAAAACCCCGAAGCCCCGAAGCCTGGAGTTGCTTGGCAGGCGCAGCAGACGACGAGGCGCTGCAGCCAAAGGCCCTGGAGCTTGTTCTACCTTGGGGACCACGTGAACGCCAAAATTGGGATCACACACCCGGCACTACTAGAATCCTTGTTAGGGTATATGAACCCTAAACCTTTCAAAATTGAGATCATATACCCTTATACAATTAGAATCCCTACTCGGGTATATGAACCATAAGAAGCCTTTGAGGCTTCATTTGGTCCTTAAAGGTATGTCAGAAGAGCGCAGAGAGTCAGAGTGCGTGGCTGCATGACCTTGTCTAGGCCACCTCCGAGGGATGGATGTCGCCTGTTTAGGCTTCAGGGTTTATAGGGGTTAGGGTTTAGGGTTTAGGCTTTAGGGTTTAGGGTTTAGGGTTTTGTAGGGCTTGTGGTGTTTAGGGCTTAAAGGGCGTTTAGGGTTTAGGGCTGTGTGGGCAGGTCAGCCCAATACCAACACCCTCGCCTTTGCCCTTCGTCTCCTACACTGGGCCATCCGCATCGGCGACTTGGCGAATCAGCTCGCGAAACCCTAAACCCTAAACCCTAAACCCTAAACCCTAAATATATCATGCCCTGCAGCTTCCGAAAGCGTTCATATGGGCAGTTTCTAGAAGTAGGGATTTAAGGGTTTCAGGTTGAGAGGCCCAGCCCAGCAAGGAGAGACAGAGGCGAACCCAGCATGCCGCCATCGATCTGGCATTTCGCTCATTTCTGGAAGATGTACAGGTTTAGGGTTTAGGGTTTAGGGTTTAGGGTTTAGGGTTTAGGGTTTAGGGTTTAGGGTTTAGGGTTTAGACCCGAACTCGAGGGGGTCGCTCACCGGAGCATCATCCAAGGCCCAAACGTGCATGTTTCGCACGGGAACGGACGTGGGAGCACGGTTTAGGGTTTAGGGTTTAGGGTTTAGGGTTTAGGGTTTAGGGTTTAGGGTTCGAAACAGGGAGTCCGCACGGGACGTGGGCGGGAGCATGGCCTTCGCGCTGGATGCGACCTGCTTCCACGTGCAAACGACAGTTCAGCAAAAGTCACAAGGGACCCCAAACCCTGAACCCTAAACCTTGAACCCTAAACCCTAAACTTTAAACCCTAAACCCTGAACCCTAAAAATATGAGGACATCATGCCGGACACTCCGACGTCTAAACCCCCAATGTCGGTGGCTTGTCGTAGAGGCAATCGAGTTTTTTGAGATGGCGAGAAGCGGGGCAACGGGCTTCCGAGATGTCGCGCAACAGATTGCGCTGACGGAGCCACTGCCCTTGCAGAAGAAGAAGACGAAGAAGAAGAAGACCCCGTTTCACCGCGCCCTCGCGCTCCGCGGCCAGACACTCTTACATCTCTTTGACGTAGCCACTTCATGGTTTGTGACTGAGAACATGAACTTAAAGAGTGGAACGGGAGCACTAGCAAGCCGCCCCCGTGAGGCAATGGAAGAGTTACGGACCCTCATGTTTATCGCTTTTATTGCAGAAGCCTGTGCCCCTATGCCCAGCAAGCCACGCAATAAGCCCCCAAAAACCCCATAGAGGCTGGTATAGGGTAGAGGGTGTGCTTCGGACGACAGAATAGCACTGCTGTCATTTCTCCCTCAACTTTTCGCGCGGCACTGTTCAACGAAAGTCGTCCACACGTCCACACCCGAAGCGAGGCAGACAGGGCGAGAAGGCCAATGGTGCCTAAGATGCCCAGCTGCATCGTCGAGCAGGTTGTGTTTTGGAGCCGAGCCCTCTAAATCCGGTTCATGGGTTTCTACAGCCCCCTTAGGAGTTCTTTGTAATTTTTAATTGATGTCAAACCCATGGGAACATGAAGAAAACTATGTTAATTAAGGTTCTAAGGGGAGAGTAGAGGTTTAGGCTTCGGGGAATCCAGGCATTGTGTTGCATGGCATGGGCACACACAGCCGCAGGTGCCTTGTCTTATTGTCTACGTACAGATGCCTCAGGGTGCCGCTTGCCGTAGCCAAGGAACCGCTTCCCAACTGTACGTCGAGAAGAGCTGGCAGCACGCAATCTGGTTGTTGCATTAAGGATGGTTCTACCAAGCGTGTGTGTTCATTGCAAGGTGTGTGTGTGTGCTTGGGCTTAGATTCGTTCATAGCGTCCGAGCTAAGGGAGGACATGGCGCATACACGCAAGTAGCAACTGCTCCCGCTCAGGTGGTTAATTCGGGGGCCGAGCGACTGGCTGCCCCCGGGGAATCATGGGAGATCGATGCCCATGCAGTACAGCTTCACAGCTTGGGGAGAAAAGACTTGCAATGCACCTCCTCCGCTTGCCTTGCATTCTGCCTGACATTTGAGAGTGCCGGTGATGCTACATGAGGGTTTCCGAAATAGGGGTACCCTTTTTGGGGGTCCCTTGAAGGGGATTCTATCCAATTTGGGGTTTGAAAAGGGGTACCCCTATTTGGGGAAATGCCCCCAAGATTCCTTGGCTGAGCGAACTGCGAACTCTGCCAAGGTCGTCCCATCACACCCGGACCAGGCAGCTACGACACTTGCTGCTTGGAGGGAACAGCCAGTTTGATAGAGCAAGAAAAGGGCCTACCCCCTAAACCCTAAAACCCTAAAACCCTAAAACCCTAAAACCCTAAAACCCTAAAACCCTAAAACCCTAAAACCCTAAAACCCTAAAACCCTAAAACCCCAAGCCCTAAACCCTAAACCCTAGCCGTCTTTGTGAACAAGATGGGCAGAGTGGCACATGGAGGCACCGTTTGGACCCGGCTGCCGAGGTCGAGGTGGAAGCTCCCCTGTCTTCACAGTGAGGCGCCATCGATGGACCCCCCCCCCCCCTCCCTTTAGGGTTTAGGGTTTAGGGTTTAGGGTTTAGGGTTTAGGGTTTAGGGTTTCCCCTAAAATGCCCTGAAGTCGCAAAGTTGACTCAGCTTGTGCCCTGCTCTGTGCCAGGCCACGGCGAGCATTGCCGTTGCATCCCAATGCAACTCCCAGAGAGGTCTTCATGTAGGGTTTAGGGTTTAGGGTTTAGGGTTTAAGGCTCTACAGGTTTTGGGCTGTAAAACATGTAAGGTTTGGTGGAGGCCATGTAGGCAATTCGCACAAAGCAGCTGAGTGCCAACGATCCGAGCAACGGTTTGCAGAAAAGTACCATAGGGGTCGAAATACTTCCTAATGGTATTCCCGTGTGGTCCTATTATGGCTAATTATACTATAATAACCCAGAACCCTATTCTAAATATTAGGGCCCCTATATTGGGTTGGGCGGGCTCTTGAAGAAAATTGCAATTGGCACAACGCGCGCTTCTTTGTTCATATTGTGCGGCCGGGGCAAACATTGCCTTGGCCTTCTGCATGGTCATGCGGAAGCTCTCTGGCATGGAACAGGCGTGTGCTGCGTCTACCATGACAGTATGAGTCGCAGCAAGATCCGGCAACATTGTGGATGTCTGTGTTCATTAAGATGGGGGCAGCAGAGGCGGAAATAGTCTGCCTCCATGACGCTTCAAGCCAGCACGTCACTTGGATTCCTTCCTTCTAGGATTCTCCCCCCAACCATTGCAGCAGCCTGGACAGGCACCATCCTATGGCTGACGGTGTGGACAGCTCTCTTCGGGCTGAGCAAGTGGTGTGCAGCGATCTGCGCGGGAGATGCTTCGAAATGTTTGCGCTGGCCAGCAGAGGGGGGGGGCCAAAGAGCCCAACACCCCTTAATTAAGGAATATTCCTTAAGCCATAATAAGGATCCCTTTATGGATCAAGCTATATTCCTGAATTAAGGGGTATTGGGCTCTCTGGGGGGAGGGAGGGGGAGGGGAGGGGGCAAGACACAGCGTCGCAGAGCCTGATGCCGAGGTGCCAAACGTGGCAAACACTAGCCTGAAAATCGCTACTCATACCCATCTATACTGGGACTTTGAGAAGATCATGTTCAGGAATATGTAGTTTACGGCGGCCAAACTAGAAAAGCACAACTCTAATCAATCACGCACTAAACGCCATTCACCCCATCAAGCCAACCCTACACAACCCATCAGCCCCAGATTTCCTTGGCTTTCTTCTGGCTGGCTCTTAGGACTTAAACCTTTTGGGTTTTTGTAGAAACTACAATAAGGAGCCTAAAAGTTAAACTTTTAGGAAGGGTTCAGAAGTCATCCAAGTTTCCCCTAGACCCTCTAAACCCTCTCCAGCCCTCGAAGCCCCATTTAACAAACCCATGCGGTCCATATGCCCTACACCCACACCCACAAAACCCTCAACAAACCCTCAAGAACCCTGAGCCCGAAACCGTAAGCCCTCAAAAACCTTAAACATTCTCAAGCACCCAAAACCCTCAAGAACCTTGAACATTCTCAAACACCCCAAAACCCTTATAAGCCCTAAACCCTAAACCCTAAACCCTAAACCCTAAACCCTAAACCCTAAACCCTAAACGACCCTAAACCCTAAACCCTAAACCCTAAACCTAAGCACCCTCCCAAAACCTGCCATCTTTGTGCCATGCCTCCAAGCCAGCGGCCCCGGGTCCTTCCAAGCAAAGAGGAGCTGCAGGCACAGGCGCGCGGGTCGAGCTTCTTTTCGGGTTCAGGGTTCAGGGTTCAGGGTTCAGGGTTTAGGGTTTAGGGTTGAGGGTTTAGGGTTTAGGGTGAGTTGCATGGTCCCTTCATTGGGGGATCACCTCATATACCCCTTACCCTAAGAAACCCAGTAAAAGAAGGCAAGGGGCCATCTTTGGTCACTTCTCTAAGTTCTGGTCCCTTTTGCGGTCACTATTGGGTACCCAAACAAGGGACCAGAATTTCGAGAACTTACCCTATGAAGGGTCCGAGCCCAGCGAACCCAAAAGTCGTTTTGAGCTTTCTCTGCCAGAGTTCACCATACAGAACGGTTATCGTGTGTTTGCTGTGTGCGACTTGCTTCGTTCGGGGTTGTTTTTGTTCAAGGAAGTGCCAGCAAGAAATAAAAGTTGCTGTACCGTGCCTCGCGGGAGCTGTATCATGTATGAGGAGAGGGGGGCCACTCGACGGAACAGTAGCTTGCACCTGGTAAACCCCAAACCAGCTAAACGAAGGAACTGGGCGAACAGCACCGCATTAAACCCTCAACCCTCCGAAGCCCTAAACCCCAAACCCTAAACCCCAAACCCCAAACCCTAAACCCTCAACCCTAAAACCAGAGTTCGTATGCCAGGATCAGGCTTCCAAGAAGCGCCATCCTCACCCCGGGGTGCACCCTGGATCCGGCCGGCACCGCATCGCGGTTGGGTTTAGGGTTTAGGGTTTAGGGTTTAGGGTTTAGGGTTTAGGGTTTAGGGTTTAGGGTTTAGGGTTTAGGGTTTAGGGTTTAGGGTTTAGGGTTTGGGGTTTAGGGTTTAATGTTAACGTCGCTTTAATAAACCCCCCCCCCCCAAAACTTGTTTTGGTCCCCGGGGTTTGGAGGGGTAGAAAAAAACGAGTGGGTGCCAATAATGCGGATTCTGGGGGTCTTGGGGGGGGTTAGCTGTCAGGGTCTGCGGTGCTTGGTCTCGAAGGGTTCTGCTTGCTCTCGGAGCTCGAAAAGTCTTCTCTGCAAGTAGAATTTCTGATTCCTGGCCGGCCAAATATTACTGTTGTCACCCCATTATTATTTTCACCGGACCCCCCTATATAGACTTGTTTACACACATCGGCCCGAAAACCTCCCGTAATGGAAAGTAGTCTTCGGCTGAGCCCCTCTGGCCCGGCGAATATTACAGTTGCCACCCCATTTATAGATGTGAGGTTAACATTAGGGTTTAGGGTTTAGGACTATTCTCAAGTCAGGTACTGTAGGAACACTGTGGCTTCTGCGATTAGGTTTGTGTGGACAAAGAATCACTATAGTTGGCATGGAATTGCTGACGGGCTGTGAGAATCACCATAGTGCAGTGGTGACACTTTGATTCCGGGCCGTCAAGTACCGCTATCGGGTGGCGAAGGAGGGCCCAGAAACAAAGAATCATCATAGTGCAGAAGTGGTACTTTGATTCCGGGCGCTTAAGTAGCGCTATCGGCACTTGCAAATTTGGGGTTTGGGGTCAGTAGACAGGGAAGGAAGGCCCGGAAGCAAGAATCACTTAGGTGCAGAAGTGTTACTTTGATTCCGGGCGGTCACGTATCGCTCTGCGGCCAAAACGCCACGGTTTCGGGTATGGTATTCCAAAGGGTTAGAGTACTTTGAGCAGTGCCTCTTGACTACCTTATGCTTCTTTTGGAGACAGGTTTAGGGTTTAGGAATTACGGTTTAGGGTTTCGGGGTGTTTAGAACAACCACCATGCGCCGCTCGCATGTCGAGATGATAACCAACGGGTTGCATGAGGTGCTTTCAGAAGAACTCAACGTCGAGAGTCCCAACTGCCCCCTGTACACCACTGAGATGGGTGCACAACAACACGCACCGCAGTTCAGATTTGTGTTTAGGGTTTAGGGTTTAGGGTTTAGGGTTTAGGGTTCACCGGCTGCATTGCCCAGGACACCGGAGGGGCGATGCTGCCAACCCTGCAGCTGCAGCTGCTGCTGCTAAGGCTGACAGGGGGCCAAATTAGCCCGATTAGGTCGTTGCATGTTAAAATTTAGTAAATGGTAGTCTTGGTCTTTATGGGGTAAAAAATATTGTCCTAGACCTCTGCATAAATACATATACGAATATATGTATATATATATAATGAATATAGTAGAATCTTCTCGGATCTGCCAGGGTTGAGCCCTGTCCAGGCTCCCCCACCTGCGAAGTTATTCAGACAGCCGTTCCCGCCCAAGAAGCCGTCCGAGCCCTCCGGCACCCAGGATCTTGCACTCGCAAGCTGCGTAACGCTGCTAAAGGGCCTGAGTAGCTGAGTGAGTACACTTACACTTTGGGAATACAATAATCCCCTATAGAACTGAGAGTGTACACTTTTTTTGGGGCTTATGAACTCAGCAACTAAGGGGCTACCTGCAATCAACATTTTGCCAGGACCAGCAAGTGGAGGGAGAATCAAGGAAGCCGCGGCCATCTCGACCGCCACCCAATCGGCCGGCCTCTCGGGCATCCCGGCCGCCCGGGCACAGGAGGTACCAGGCAGGCTGCCCTAAACCCTAAACCCTAAACCCTAAACGAGTTTTTTTAGCCTGCACTACTTTGCATGTGCTGGTGGGCCAGGACCACGCGCCGGGTTGGCCAGGAGCCTTTCTGCACAAGTCGGAGCACCAGAATGACACCAGCGCTTGCCCCGCCCCCGGTTACCTTAGGGTTTATAGGGTTTAGGGTAGGGTTTAGGGATGATCAGGTCCGGTAGCGCAGCACAGATAACTAGTAATTGCTTACATTAAGAACACCGAAAAAATAATGTATTCTTCCTTATGAAGGGTAATAGAGGGATTATTATGCATTCTTTTGGGGTTCTCAAGCAAATAGTAGATAAATACCATGATTGAGCCATGTCCAGACAAGGCGCAGAAAGCCAACGATATCCGCAGAAAAGCGTTCACGCAAAACTAGAAGACATGGTTGTTGGCAGGCATGCTGGCATGCGGAGGCATGTAGACAAAACCCTTCTTGAACAGAGGCAAATCAAGTCTTGCTACAAGAGAGCCCAATAATTTAGGCGAATCCCGAATCTTGCGCCGAGTCGATCTACTGTTGAGACATTGTTTGAGTCTCGTTGGTGCCGAAACATGGCCCCGTAGTTTCGACCCCAAGCCCTAAACCCTAAGCCCTCAACCCTGAATCCCAAGCCTTTGCGTCCGCTAGGCGGGTTGCAAAAAGTCTGAAACCCTAAACTCCCTGAACCCTAAACCTGCCCTGAACCCCTGAACCCCTAAACCCCTAAACCCCCAAACCCCCAAACCCCTAAACCCCTAAACCCCTAAACCCCTAAACACCCAAACCCCAAAACCCCAAACCCCAAAGCCCAGACCCGACGGACGCTTGGAAGGTCCGCTGCCTGGCTTGGTAGCTTCCTACGCGCCTAACAAGCGCACGGCCCTGGCCTCGCACCCCCGAAGTCCCGGCCCTAGGTCGGGAGTGTTTTTTTTCTTTTGTTGGTTTTAGGGTTTCTGGGCTTTGGGGTTAAGGGCTTACGGATGCAAACAAGGCCTTGGCCTCAGCACAGGTTCAAAAAAATGGTCTACAGATGCAATAAAGGGTTTTGGGTTTAGGGTTCCAAAGGGTTGATGGCCAAAGGGTTTCAGAGGGTTCATTTAGACTTTGGGTTTAGGGTTTGGGGTTTAGGATTTGGGGTCTAGGGTCAGGATTCAAGTTGAGGTTCTGGTTGAGTGTCGGCTGCATCTGCATTGAACTAGGTTACTAGGAGGTGTGCAATGCTGCCGTCAATCTGCAGATTCTCGTAGCGCCCTAAACCCTGCTTGGTCATGATAAGGGAATCCTACTATGTGGGACTGTACTAGGGGCCCCTTATCTTCGTAAAGATGGCTACTTGCAAGTCGGGTTGTAAGTAGGGGAACTACGGCGATAACCTTATGTAGGGCACTCCTTCTCAGTAGGGGTTTAAGTAGGGGAAACTATGGTTATGTCCTTTGTTTAGTGTACTTAATGCCCCCACTTTCAGGACCCATCTAGCGGCCCGCAAAAGGTGGATCGACCTGGCTGCGCTTCATGCTCGAACGCCACTGGGTTCTGAAGTTTAGGGTTTAGGGTTTAGGTTTAGGGTTTAGGGTTTAGGGTTTAGGGTTAGGGTTCTGAAGCAGCCCATAATAGTCTATGCCAGCCGTATATTATATAGTATACATGGTTTTTCTATGTCTTTACTGTATATTAGTTTGGACTCTATCTTCAACTTGGGGCACCCAGTATCAAATTTGTTAGACTACGAAGTTCCTGCAAACGTAAACGCAAGCGTTTTAAAGTACAAGCCATGGGTTAATCAGTTCAACTTGTATACCGAACTCCGCCTGTGCGGCATACGGCAGATGTTGCCTTGCATACACATACATACTGCACGAAATTGCTCCCTAAACCCTAAACTAGCGTGAGAGTCGAAACCCTAAACCCTAAACCCTAAGCCCTGAACCCTAAACCCACCTATATGTTCAGGTGCTTCATCCTTGCCCTGTGGCTTCGAGGATCCTGGCTGGGCAAGGGGCTTGGCGAGAAGGTTCTTGAGCCTCCCGGAGGACTTTTCCTGAGGGTTTAGGGATTTAGGGTTTAGGGTTTAGGGTTTAGGGTTTAGGGTTTAGGGTTTAGGGGGCAAACTGCTTGTAAGTGAGGCAGGTAGAACGTCGTTGCTGTGCCGTTCTTCCCTTTCCTGGAATTTGGGGTTCTATGGGTTTTGGTGTTGTGGGGTTTTGGGGTTGTTGTATATGGGTATGGCGGGGGTTCCGATGTTTTGGAAAGTACCCAACATGTTGGAGGCATCCTTAGAAAGAGCACCCTGCTGGCCGAGGCAAATATCCTGCCTCACGTTGGGGAGGATCCTTCTCACCCGCAGAACGTGAACAAGGACTCAAGACTAGTGATGCTTTTGTTGGGTACTGTGGGATAGTAGGGTTTAGGGTTTATAGGGTTTATAGGGTTTATGGGGTTTATGGGGCTTTATAGGGTTTATAGGGCGTTTAGGGTTTTAAGGGTTTGGAGGACAACCCAGGAAACATCACACAGTTGTCCAAGGGAGAGTTGTCCGATGAGCTTGATTGCTTGGATACACGAGAGACCGGTCTCTTGGGATGTTCCCCCCCGTATACTATAGCAGTCCGTAACAGGGATGATAATCGCTATATCCCCCTTGTTGTTTTTGCCGGGCGCGGGATTTAAGACGTCCCTTGGTTTTAATTGTTTTTTTCAGAGGTTTCTGGTGTTTAAAGGCGATTTTTTCCGGAATCGGGTGTTTACCATAAAGATCAGGTGGTTAGGCTGAATATGTAGGCCCCGCGCCCGGCATAGGTGTGTTTGGTAAGTCTTAAGTGCCGTGTCGTTGGTCAGTTGTTTGGATTTCAGGGGTTGGAGTTTCATTGGATTGAGCTAGGCTTGCAAGTGTGAGGCTCCAGGCCCAGTGTTTCGACCATACTAAATGATCAGCATCGCAACATATCACACATCATCATCTTCAATGGTGTGAAGCTGCTGTCGGAGAAATGAGCGAAGAACCCAGGGGCGTCTTAAATATTCGGCCATATTAAAAAGCTCAAGAAGAGGTAATTTGGGAGGTTTTGGTAATGAAAGCCAAATGAAAAGCAACAGCGAGGCTTTGTCGGAGCAGAATCTGTCTTGAGTCTCTAAGGAACCCGATTCAGACGGCAAATACAAGAAAAACTACACTTCGAAGACAGTCACAGAGAAATAAGGGGCGTCTTGAATCCCGCGCCCGCCTTGTTTTTTACATTTGCTTATATAAAACCCAAGAGGACACCAAAAATATTGTGTTTCTGAAGGCTCTAAGGGGACACTTAAACCCCTATTCAGGACTGTTGGTCTAAGGGGGGGCATCCCAAGATGTCTCAGACGTAGTAGCTGCCAATTCCGCTAAAGCGGCCAAAGCGTGTTTGGTCTGCAAGCCACGAGCTTTCGGGCACAGCACGTCATGCATCCACGAAGCTGCTTCTGGCGAGGCCAGCAAGCAATCAGTAGTTAGTTCACATGTCAACACTCAAAGCTCCTAAGAAACTCTGCCGGGGCAATTGGCCCGGGCGCAATTGAAATCGGCTTCCTTTGCAATCGCAGCATTGTCCCGTGATGCATGGCGGTGGACATAGTCGGGTGCACCAACACTGCCGATGACGTGTTCAACCCGCCAACGAGCCCAAATACCCCTGAATTCAGGGTATTTGGCTGCCCACGCCATGATTCTTTACCTGTTGCATTTTACCCAGGAGGGGCTCGTCGTGAAAACGCACAGCATTTGCTACGGCTGTCGCTTGGCGCCCTAAACCCTAAACCCTAACCCTAAACCTTATAAACCCTAAACCCTAAACGACCCTAGGCCCTAAACCCTCAACCCTAAACCCTAGACCCATTCCAGGGGCTACCAGGGCCGAATGGTAATCCAAGACACACTGTTGCGAGATCGGGGCGAAGCTAAGCCATGTGGTGCCCTAAACAACAAGCCTTGGGATGTTCCCCACCGTACCAACAGTCCTGAGTAGGGATTGTAATAGGGGCTACAGCAATCTCTATTAAGGGCTGTTAGTATAAGGGGGAGCATCCCAAAATAAACCCCGAGATGAGCATTTCCCAAAATAGGGTACCCCGAAGATACCCCCAAAAACACTACCCCCTCCCTTCCCCCCCTGCTTCCCGCCCTGCAACAATGAAGGTTGGGCTGATGCTGGCATCGAGGACCGGCTGACCATCACCGGCCACACCAGGATGACTCTGGAGAAAGCGGCGGCGCTGGTAGGACGGCTGCGCTACCACCGTCAGTGGGGTTGGTGTAGGGTTCGTTTAGAGCAAGAAGGGGTTCAAGAGGGCGTTTTGCTTCAGAATTCTTGCTGACGTCTACTTATGCAGTGGCCAACAAATCTGGTGACCCTACACCCGAAACCCGAAGACACAGCTTGACACGTTGCACTGCCCTGTGCTGCAGGACAGGAGTATGCAGAGCGCATCCAGTCGAAAGGCTGCTGCCGCCTGGTTCGAATGGGTCCAAAAAACCCACCAGTAGGGTTTAAGGTTTCGGGTTTACGAGCGTGCTTTGCGCTGATTGCCCCGGCATTTCAGACAAGGTCTTGTTTTTCCACCCAGCACGCTCGAGTCAATGATCCGACAGCCTCTTGGCAGCAAGAGCAATGGACGGGCGGCTCATCATAGACAGCTTATAAAGTGAGGTAACTAGAGGAGGCGACATGGAAAGTCCTCTTAATAAGCGTCCCTTTCTGGTCCACATATAGCGCTGCACCCGTAATTGAAAGACCCAAAAAGGGACCCACGCATTCAGGTCAGCTAGGAACAGCCAAAACAGCCAGAACCACAAAACTGACCGGACCGGAATTGGAGTTTACCCAGGATGCCCTTAACGTCCACAACCGACTTTCGAAGAAACACAATTCTGCATGGTCTGAGAAGGGGAAACGACGGCGCACAACCGTAAGAAACATGTTTTGGCTTTGGGAACACTGTTAACTTGCGGAAACGAACTTCGGTCTTTACCCATCACGCAGCACACCATGGCAGTGCTACTCTCTCACTAGGATACTGACAGCTGTACCCAAAGCATCTAAATCCTAAAAACAAAACAAAGCAGAAACGAAACAATCGTGGGCACAATGGCATGGAGTCGTATGGTCAAGAGGCTTCCGTCTGCGCGACAAAGAACTTCTTGCCAACTCGGGCTGGCATTGGTGCATTGGCTCGCGTCCAGTCAGGTATATCATACAGCACAAGAAAGTCGATGAACATGGGGGGATGTAGCCGTGAAATGCGTAGCAGCGCCTCTTCTGTCACCTGTTGTCCGACGATCCTGAGGTGGAATCGAGCCAGCGATCGAACGAAGGCCTGGCACCAGACTGATGTTTCGCGTGCGGCGTCGGTGCATATATGGAGCAGTCAGGTCCATGAAGGTCCCAGTCAGAATCCTGAAGAGGTGAAGTTCAGATGCCACAAATTCGTAGGAAGTACTATAAGGGGTCGGAAGAATTACTAGCAATATTCCCTTATGGTCCCTTTGTAATCATCCTATAGTAGCCCCCCAAAAACCCCTTTTCTAATTCTTAAGCCCTAAACCCTAAACCCTAAACCCTAAACCCTAAACCCTAAACCCTAAACCCGGATGAGCTGGGCAAGGCTGCGCTGCACATCCCCTGCGAGATTACGCAGCCAGGACTTGTTCATCTACAAATGACTTAAGAATCAGAACCCCCCCCCCCCCAAAAAAAAAAAAAGTTCTTCCTTGTAAGGGTAATATAGGGATTATTATGTTTTATTCTTTTGGGGCTCTCAAAAGATTAAATATTCTTCCCTGTAAGGGCAATACCGGGATTATTGTGTTTCATTCTTTTGGGGCTCTTCAGCAAAGAGTAGTCACGTCATCTGCCTCTGCTCACTGACGTCCAACAAGTCCTTGAAGGGAGCCATGGCTTAGTCTTGCCCCACAGTTTACTACCAATTGCTTAAGAACCCCTCATTAGGGTTTAGGGTTTAGGGTTTAGGGTTAAGTATTCTTCCTTATAAGGGGAATATGGGGATTATTGTTTTTTGTTTTTTAGGAGTTCTTAAGCAAGTAGTAGTTTATGGTCTCACTTGTTGTCTCCGAAGGTATGATCAGGCGATCATCCTGTACAGAGATCCTCTGGACGTTTTCAGGCCCGACTTTATTGTTGACAGCAGAAGTCGAGAGCAGCAGGTCGCCACAAAGCAAGTAGGACTCAGGTCGGTCTTAGACCTATATAGTAGCTATATACACATACATATATATATATATATCGATACATATATATATATACACACACGTTTGTTTGGGCACATAACCCTGGAAGGTCTAACTACCACTACCGCACAAAGGCCGGAGCAGTTGACGCATTCTGGGCCTACTGCTTTGTCAGCTGCAGTCAACTTTACGAGTGGTACTGAGAAGCAAGCCCTAACCTTGTACAGCAGGTCTTGCACGCCCGACATGGGTCCTCCTGGGCGCAGCACAACTACAGCTTTCCAAAGGAGCATGAGATGCACCTGCATGTGTCTGTCGGCATCAGAAGTCACCCGTGGCCCACGACACTGAAGGAGAGAGCTGCAGCGTATGCGCCCCTTGGAGAAGAATGGCAATGCAGACAGAGGGCCGTGATAGGGGTTCTGAGACTACAAGTACGATGCGGTTGAGCAACATGCAAGCTTGGCTGCCACTGCCCTGGCATATCCCGGAAGCTCCTACATGTGAAGCTTCCGCTTAAACTCATCGTTCGGAAGCTCAGGGAGTTCTACAACAAGTGGAAGCTCTTCGCGCCTTTGCCAGCAACACCCCGAAACCATAAATCCATGCAGCAACTGCTACCCGGATTCTCCGAAGTCAGAGTGTGTCTGTTCGCTTGCGGAGAGTCTTTCCCCAACGTGTGCACCAGTGACAGCTTTCTCAGGCTGAAAAGCGCCCTGCAGTGGCCCCGGCTTGCTGATGCTTGCCGATGCATCGACTCTGAGATCATGCCGCTGAAAACGCAACAACGCCTGGCCCAACTGCGGCACATGCATCGGCAGAAACGCCTGCGAAGTCTCTTCTCAGGCCTTGTTCGTTCGCTATGAAGACATGAAGGCAGATCCCGTGAAGCAGCTGTCGTGGGCTCAGGATGATTTTTCAAGACTCATGTCTGCACAGCCCTAAAACCCTAAAGTGATCAGAAAGCGCTGGCCTGTTGAGGAGGCGTATCTTCGATTTTCTGGGAATTGAGGCCCCTGGGCCGCAGTGTGGCATCGATGTGGACCCCCTTGTTCACGCAGAAATCTTTAACAAGTGTATCACCCGAACATCCTCTGTTGACACCCGGAAGACCTTGGCTTTATGGAGGGCTCCCCTACGTGTACCAGAAGGTCCAACGCGCGCTTTGCCAAAATCGAGCTCGGAACTTAGGTGCCGGCGACGAAGCTGGCATGTGCTGTCGCGCAGTCCACAATGGACAAACTCAAAGAGGAAGGGCATGGAAGTTGTGCAAAATTTGCCATTCCTGGAGAGTTGGCTGCCAACCATCATGAGGCTATCATGGGTTTGCCTGCTGCCCCCCTCTATACTCCCGCCTGAGCTGGGTTCCCCCTTAAACAACCTCAGTTTGGCTCAATTATCCCTAAACAGCCTTAATTTTGGGGGCTGGGGGGGGAAGGTAGTATAGAGGGGGGCAGTAGGGGAGCCCTCGTGAGTCTAGGCCGGCTAGGAGGTGTCCTCCAGGGCATGGATTATGAAGAGACCGGCCCGATAGTGCCACGAGTTTACCCTAAACCCTAAACCCTGAATCCCTAAACCTTTTATCTTGTGCCTGTGAGGACACCTCCAAGACACGAGGCAACGTGAAATCCCAGGACTTCTTCGGTTCAAGAGGGAGAACCGAAGAGCAGGAGACCTGGAATGGATTTTAAAGGGTTTAGGGTTTAGGGTTTAGGGTTTAGGGTTTAGGGTGTTCGGAGAGGCTGAATGCAAAGAGGGCCCCTAAACCCTAAACCCTATGGTTCAGTGCTTGCATGCAACGGGTGTCGAAAGGGTTTAGGCGGGCTGTGCAAAGACCCTAAAGACCGCGAGTGCTGCCACGACATCTCAGGAGGACCTCTCGTATCCGCTTCTGCGGCTGCAAGAAGCACTGGGCCGGGTCACAATGTTCCCAGAGAGCCCTATATTCCCCCTAATTAAGGAATGTAGCTTAAATAATAATACGGGATCCTTATTGTGACTTAAGGATATATTCCTTACAATTATGGGGGTATTGGGCTCTTTGGGTTTCTTTTTTTTTTGTGTCAGACGTGGATTGCGGGCCATGAGACATCAGGGCACGCGGGGTTGTGTTGGTTTGTCTACTAGCAGGGTGTCGACCTGTCTATATCCCCCTTGAGAATTATTCTGTTGTTCGCTAATATAAAGCCCAAGAGGATGTTAAAGATATGATTCTTACTATGGCTCTAAGGGGAGTATAGTTCTGTGCTGTCAAAGGTCGGATGTCCTTGCGCATTTCCAGACCTCTGGAGTTTTCGAGCTTGCGCGATCGCTGGGCTACCCGCAGCAGCTGGGTCGACAAGATTGGGGTTTAGGGTTTAGGGTTTAGGGTTTAGGGTTTAGGGTTTAGGGTTTGAGGCAAAGACCACCTCAGCCAACAAGGGGAAGGTAGCAAGAAGTAGCAAGCACCTGTCTGATTGATGGCTGTGGCTGCCTAAACTCTAAACCGTAAACCCTGAACCCTAAACCCTAAACCCTAAACCCTAAACCCTAAACCCTAAACCCTAAACCCTAAACCCTGCCCAGGTACAGCTCCGTTGAGGCTGTAAGTCGGATCACCAAAGCCACCAAAGCCACCGAGACCGATGCGGCCAAAGCCAGCAGGGGGACGGTGGCTCTGCTCCTCAATTAAGGGTTTAGGGTTTAGGGTTTAGGGCAGAACTCAGCATGTAAATAAAGAGTACCTAGGCAGAAAGGGCAGCAGTCGAGTCCCTTGTGAAAAATATTATGAGCACAACATCATTCGTACAGTTTCATATATATATATATATATTGTCTATACAGAATAGGATATGGGGCACATACGCACATACATATACAGATATGCAGATAGATAGATAGACGGACAGCGACGCGCAAAATTTGCAGTGGCAGCCAAGGATGTTTCCGGCATGGCGTTGTCCCAGGCGTTGGGAAGCCAATACGTCCAGACGAGCAGCGAGAAGAGCGGCTATGAGCTCATGGAGTCTCGACAGGGTTTAGGGTTTAGGGTTTAGGGTTTAGGGTTTAGGAAGAAGGGGGTGGGGATTCTTGTGCCTGGGTGGTTGAGGGTTATGGCGCAAAAGGTTCGGCCTGGATGTAGAAAGGGTTCCGGGTAGAGTCGCAGCAGGCGAGATGCAAAAGGGTTTAGGGCATAGTAGGGGGGGGAGTGCAGGGGCAGTTTGCTGCAAGCACTTGCTCTGGGCATTGAAGCTGCCTTGCCCTTTGCCTGGAAGTCAGAGATGGCGCAAGCCAAGGAGCTCTCGTCAAAGCTGGTCCCGAAGGCTTGCCAAAAAACACTGGATGTAGTTGTTCATAGGGTTGGATCCTCACACCCAACAGTCCCGCGCTGACCCTCGTTTGAACCAGGGGCTTCTTCGCCACGAGCTGCGCTTTGAGACTCGGTGGCAACCATCGTGGGCGCTTCATGCGCAGCGCGCCGGACCGTCTTGCGCTTTCCCTGGTCAGACCAAGTTGCCGTTGTTCACAGCTGCAACTGTACACTGCCAGGCTGCCCAACCCTAAGCCCTCACGTTAACACCCAACATCGCAGGGCCCTAAAC